AGATTGCCATGGCGTGAGCTACACAAACGACGGTCATCCTTTTATGCAAATGGCTCAATCAATTTAGAGTATTAGGTTTTGGGTTAACCCATTCAGTTGTTTCAAGGCACCAGGCACCCTTGATGCATTCAACTAGCGGGAAATTGACGATCTCCCAATGAGTGAAATCCACACCGAAGACCACCGAAAGTGCCCGGTGCCTCTGAATAACTGAATGAGCAAACCTTAAACCTGATCACCTCTATATTCTCCAAAATCCTAATTAACGGCTAACCAACGAAGTGGCCGGCCTCTGACTCGCATCCAAAAGACTTATCTGGCGGTAGCCGTGTAGTAGTACATTAAAAACCCGGGAGCGTTTGACTTAGGTGGCTGAGACATATCCGGTCGAACTACTCATCACTCAGATAGAACCAACCCTTTTTCACAGTAAAAAACAATCAAAAATGTTCTCAACCAATAAAATCATAAGTTGTACGTCATAATACACTACCGAAAAGCAAGTAGCATATGAAGGGACGGAGCAGGACACTGAACTGTGATAGTACAAAGCGTCTAAAGAACCATAAAACGAGAAGGGGCAATATAAATACATAGTTTGCACCAAAACCTGCACAATATATATCGAGAGAGAGCGCGCGAGAGAGAAAGTATATCGTATTCAAAATGTGCTGCATGAAATGCATTACGAAAGGATTCTATTACAAAGGTGAACTCACAAATTACACTGACCAATATACAAAACAAAACAAAAAAATAAGTACATATATTAGAAAAAAACACCGAGTGATAAACGCAGATGTGAAATTCATTTACTATATAAACTAGATGATGCGTAGTTACCTCACGAATGTATCCGATCAAAACAAAAGAGAAAATGAGCGAGAGAGAGAGATAGAGATGGATCGCGAAGCAAGATTCAGAAAGAAAAAAACAATTAAAAGTCATGATGCAAAAGCGGATCGATACGGATTACAAGGATACGCGTGTTACGCTATCCAAATGAGGATAGCGATCGAGTCATGTGTTGTGTTGAGGGAACATATGTACTTGAGATCGTGTATGCACACAATAGCAATAGAAAACCATGATTCAATGTTTTATTGAATGAACAAATTGATCGATTCATTAAATTAGCCAATCAGAAATAGGGTAACTGGATGAGTGAGTGGCATAACACTCGATAAGAGCGAACAGCCATTGAGACTTTGTACAGCAAGAAGATCGGTGATATACTGTGTATGCGTGTGTATGCGCGCGCGCACTACCAGGTAGGATTTCACTGAAGGAACGTGACGTTACNCAGTACAATATAATCGGACTGAGGCGCGGGGGTTATGGAACTGTCAGGGATGTACGTCACAGGATGAGGACTGGTGGTCAAACCAACGCCGATCGGTGCCGTGTGACTTCGCGAGGTATCGGATTCTGGGAGACGGGCTGTGAAACAAAGGGAGACACACAGGACGAGAAGATAATGAGATATAGTAGAAATGAAAGAGAAAGGGATAGATACAAACTTGGTTGAAGATCCTTCGGAAGGCAAAGGATTGACAAACACTCAATGGAAAGAAATTTGACATTCGCTGCGGACTGATTTGATACACAGAGAAGTTTTGGGCATGTTCTAACTGCAGTGGCAGCTCGACATCATTATCTTCATCACCGAACAGCGGGATATAGTGAAGTGAAAGTCACTGGGTTGTGGCTGCGCAGTGCTTTAGCCGCTATCACGGGTGGAGTTTGGACCCTATGGTCCAAGGTGGTCCAAATGTGTCTCAACTGGCGGAACATAGTGAGTCGAATTAGATGCGATGGCGCGCTCTTGTCTGATGGATTCCCACACACCGAACGACTTTCATCTTGGTTGCTAGTCCGCTCAATCCATCCCACCTGGGCCAGATTCCGCAAGCATCGACTGTCGAAAACCTCCATGTAATGGACTTATTCTAATCGGTCTCATAACCATAAAGCAGAACTAACCGAACAGTTTTGGAACTTCATAGAAGACGTCACATAGTCGCCACAAGTACTCCAGTGGAAAGTGTGTTGCTCGAGACTCATAAATGCGTGTGATTATTTCCTTTACCGCGCCACCATCGTTGGTCACCTAACTTCCGGTCAACGAGAAAGAGGTCCACTTTAAACCATTCTTGACGGTCTAGTTTTAACCATTCGAAAATCACTCAGTATTGCAGTATCACTATGAGTTGAACATGTAATGTCAAGCAAAAATCATATGATTATATGACTTCCGTGTATTTTCTTTTATGAGTACATCTGCATTAGATCCATCAATAAGAGCGGGAACACGACCGTGTGTGATGGTAGATAGAAGTGATGACAAACACTTCAGTTCAGTTCTCACAACCAAAACCATGCACTCTCTTAGGGGGGTTTTGGTTGCTGTCTTTTGGTCGCCCGTTTGGACAAAAGAGCAGAGGGAAGAATGGAATGTTGGGAGTAGAGTAAAGGAAAAAACAGAGAATTCATGTAGACTTGGATTACAGGGATGATGAGTAGATGAACTTAGCGCTACTGTTTACGACACCGAACCATATCGTTCAGTGTACTTAACCACCGGTGACTATGACCTCGAGGTCCCCATCCAGGGAACCTAAAGAGATCAATGTGACCGAGTCTCTTGGTCAGTGTTTTCATACTTGCCAGGTCTTATGTTGACAGCCCTCAACCTTTATCCATGTGCTGACTGTCTCAGCAAACTATGTGCGCTGTGGCAACCTAATTGGGGACATGTATCACACATGACCCACCCAAGGTAGTCTATAGAGGTCGACCATTTATTCCAGTGGATGACCACGATAACCTTAAACTCCGTGTCTATACTTTACACGGATATCAATCGACCAGATTAGAAAGAACAAAAATCACAAACCACTGAGATCTCGTACTACACCTGCTGTTGGATCGATCAAACTCTTATGTGATTGGTTAGCCTAATGATTTCCCAATCGGATCACCCGAATAAGAACGGACGTCCGGTGCGTTCCCGGACCAGTGGATAGGATTATGGTTCTATTGCTTTTAGGCGAGGCTCGTGTGGTTGAATTCGTGGTCACCGGTACACCCCAAACTTAAAGGTTTTACACAACACCCGGGGTCCCTGTTAGCCAACTTTTGAAGAGACCCGCTTGGTTACCACCCATCTCTAAACTAAACTTATCCCAATCGGGACCTCAAGCCATTATCATTAATTCAGTTTCTAGGACTTAGCTCGCATATTCCGATAACTCAGCAGTGTGTTCTTATCGCTATGGAATTCAATACCCCCTCAACCATTTACCAACATGGAATGTGTAATACAAATTAGACGCTTGAAACCTGTGCATAGTGGCTCTGGTTTTAAATAGTTCCAACTGCTACCTTAAGCATCATTAGGCCTCGTAAGCGTGGGCACATCGAAAATTCACTAACATTCAGTGGCAGGTAGCTATGAAGCAACCCAGAGATGCAAAACCGCAATATGAGCCGTCAGTAAGCCATTCTTCCCACATTCTGAAGCACGGAAATCCTCATAAATTGGCATAACACAAAGGAAGAGTGGTTGGTTGGGTGAAAATGAGGTCGGGCACTATCATCGGGCGTATAGAGGTATATAACTGTGCCATGTGCCGGAACTCCGGTTTCACAGCGCCGTCTTCTACCTATTACTACTACTACTACTACCAGAAACAACCACTCACCCCGTTCACCGCCAGCTTGTGAGAGAAAACCATTGGACTGATCGGAACTTCGTTTCACATGTGCCCGTTCTTCCTTCATAGCCAACGGATCATGACCAATGGTGTCGGGACGACGAAATGGTGTGCAATCTTCTCGATCGCTTTCCGTGGAATTAGAGGAGGACATGGTAGACACGTTAGACAGGGACAAACCTGATCGGAAGCGGGAGGGGGAGAGGTTAACGGACAAAGAACTGGTCTGGATCACAGTGAATAACCCCAGTGAATAAGGTGAAACATACAGGCCAGAGCCTGAATCAATCTTTCATCTTTCAATCTTTCTTTCTTTGCTAAGCTAGAATCACTTATTGTCTCCTGGTTACTCACCAGCCAAAACTCTGCGGGAGGCAAAAGCCAGGTCATATTAATCTTATATTTTATTAGAACATTAAATAAACAGAGATACTTTCTCATACCTCTCTCTCTCTCGCTCCCTTGGACAGCCTGTACACCGAATCTCATTTCGATCCAAAACATCCGAAACTTAATGAAAAAAGAATAAAACAATCCCTGTTCGAACCCTCAAGAACCTGAGGAGAGAGACGTTGTTTAGAAAAAATGGAAAACAATGCCACAAGACTACATGCTGAAACTGATCACTGACACGAGTTGGCCGGGTCATCAGACGCGGACCGGGGATAATCCAATTGTTCAACTGATGCGTGGCTTAATCATTGTGTCCGGGGATTTCATTTAGCATAACTGTTTAATGAATATGGCCACAAATTATTCCAAGGCAGTTGGGGAATATACCTAATCGTATTTGTTACGATAGTTTCATATATCCACAGGATAGGGTCGGACGAGAAGGTCGGACGGTAGGTGCACAATTTCTGCAGTTTCAATTTTGAATACAGTAATTCGTTCCACGAGGTCCTGTTCATTTTTAACCGGTGTGAGAAATCGCTCATCGCATCCTTTCGCGCTCTACAATCATACTACTAACAAATGTGATTTTGATGATATTTGATTTGACGTTGTAGACGCCACCTACCCCTGCCTTGATCCCGGTTGGTTGGGATTTGCCGCTTTTTCTCCATCAGTGCTACTGACTCATCAGATTTCCAATGCCTCGGGAGGGGTACTACTTCCCCTCCCGATCCACAAGCAACCTTCGCTGCGAAGTGCATTGCTCGGCCAATCTGATCCCATTGTTCATCTACACTGCCACCCAGCAGTGCGTTTAGCTCTTGCCCTAGTTCTGATTCAAAACGGGCACGAACGGCTGTGTCAGATAAGCGATGATCTGCCAATCGAGTTTGGTGGGATTTTCTGCGACCAGTGAGTTGGAGAGTGAACTCCATCAAAACTAACGCACGATCAGATTCAACGCAGGTGGTCTAATAGAACCTGCAGTTTTGTACTGAGCCACGCCAACGGTAGCTTACTGCGATGTGGTCGATCTAAGTTAGCTTGCCAGTTGAATTTGAGCACCACGTTGCTGTCTGTTGAGAGCCCTGTTGGAAGTTAGTGCCGGATAGGAACAGATGATGATCTGCGCAGAACTGAATAAGTCGATCGCCATTATCTATTCGCTGGGAGGACAAAGCACAATGACTGCCTAGGCAAGCTTCCGATGAGCTTAGTTTTCCAACTTGAGTGTTAAAATAACCTGAGAGAGTAACTACATCGGAGCTTCGACTCAACCGAATGAGTTCGATGAGTTTATCATAAAATTCGTCCTTTT